GTTGATGCAAGTGTCATCATCCTCGGCGCAGCAATCATCTCTAGTGCAGGCACAGGTAATGGTGCAGGTACCATCGCCCTCACCATCACCTCCTTTGATGGCAGCATTGATGCTTCCTAGGTTACATACGACGTATCGGGGCCATTGAGTGCCCAATTGGAGATAGTAGTCGTACCCTTGAGCCTGCTGGTAATCGTGAAGGTTGGCGTAGGACAGACTATTGAACTCAGAGTACGAGAGCATCGTGTTGTTCCAAATGTTCTTTGTGGACTCTCGCGGTGTTCCCATGAAGAGCTCTGAAACCATCTTCTCCATGTACTGCTCTGTCGCGAAACTCTGGATATCGCCAATATCCCAAATCTGACGGCTGGCAAGCGTACCTGAAGAGCAGAGCTAGTGTCAGTAACATAAATCCGGATGCGTGGACAGGTTCATATGCTCGACAGACCATTCGAATAGGAAACAGATTGCTCATCTCGAGCCTTGAGGGGGTTTCCGAAAAAGATGTTACTCGAACAGACAGGGTTCGTCATGAACACTGATAGAAAGCAACGTAGATTAGCAGCTAATTACCTGGTCGCGTAAAAATTACTTACACTTGATATAACTCTCAAAGTATTCGTCCTCGCTGTTTTCATACCGAGTGGTTGAGGTCGTCCAACCAGGCTTGCAACACCTTGCCCTGGCACCACCACCTGAGCATCCGGTGTGCTCCATAGCAACCATGGTAAGGCCACCAGAGCATGACGGGTCGCAGAACTTCAAGCCTGTGTCTTCATCTGTCCACTGTTTCAATAATTAGCTCGGTGTGATTAGTCAAAGCTCCCGTCACTCGGAGAATGATACACCATCACCCAACGCTTGGCCTCCAAAGCCGGACTGGGTGACTTACATCTGTCATGCCTTGCCATTCACAGTCCTTCCACTTTTTGTCTTCTTCAGGCTGATCGCAGCAGTACTTGTTCTTCTTTGAATCTTCCATACCTCCCTTGTACCAGGCTCCCCAGCACATTGCATCACCACTACCGTCACCGGAGAACGCGATGACGTCGGAACCGCAGGTAGCCTTTTCGCAACTTGGCCAGGTGCTCGAAGCAATCTTTGCACTCCAGTCACATTGAGAATATAGCTTCATGTTGTCAGTTTCCACTGAGCAACAAGCTGCTTGATAACTCCTGATTGGCGAGAAGCCTCCACCCTGGGTGTGGCAGTACTCGTTGTTGCTGCCGATTTCCTTATAGCCGCTGGGGCAGGATTTACCACCTAAGAGACGAGCGTCAGATAACTTAACCGTCAACAGGGAAAGTAGCGTACTTACTATCGCAGTCGCCATTGTTGTGTTTATACCACCCGCAAGTTGGCTTGTTGCCGGGAGGACAGCATAACTTACTATCAAGCAATGTCAGTCCGAACGCTTCAATGCAAATTCAGCAACTCACTGCTCTCCACGGCCACCGCAGCCTGCCCCATTGACCATGTACTCGTTCTTCCCTGCACCTGGGCCACTTCGCATCATACGAGTCCAGTCTGAAGGGCAATTTTCGTCGCAATTGGTCCATCGACATTGTTTGTGCTCCTCAACATCGGTGACATAACCGTCGTCTTCTTCCGTAGCCATCTCAGAAGTGAATAGTCTAGGAGCGACGCGAGACAGAGCCATCGAGTATTTCCCTGCTCTGGTGTCGTGTGAGATGGCCCAAACCATGACACCGCCGAGACATAGACTGCGAGCGTAGTCCGCTTTGAGACGAAGAGTCTCCTCATCGTCGAAGGTGAGCCAGTTGTTGCCGCCCCAGGTGACAACCTTAACGGCAGCATCTTTGTTCAGTGTTGCCTTGGCCCCCTGCTCAGAAACGAGCTGGTCAATCTCTGAGTTTAGGGCGACGCCAACTTCGGCGCTGCAGGCTTGAGCGTACGTTCCCGACTCGTATGTACACCCGGGAGACATGCAGGAAGAACTGCTAGCGATGAAACCGCGTCCATAGAAGGCGAGGCCTAGCGTGACTTTGTCCTTGTCTACACCATTGCGCCAGAGGAGATCAAGACCCCCCTTGATCTCAGTCAGGTTCGTATGGCTGTTCAAGTATGGTCCAACACTGTTCCAGCCGACATTAGCCATTGTACTGCGCAATCATAGTCCGATGACAAATGACGCCTTTGGAGAAGACACTCACAACTCGTTCGGCTTATCCCATACACCATGGAAGTCATAGGTCATCATGTTGAAGAAGTCCACGTGCGGGGAGAGAGCCTTGAGATCAAAATGCTGGAGATACCCTGAGGAAGATGGTTAGACATCGTTGGCAAAGTGGAGAGGGCTCAAGGTCAGCTCACAATAAGAGGCCGGAAGTGTGATACTAACTTCGTATTTCTTCAAAGCGGCTTTCAGACTTTTCATGAATTTCGGAAAGTTGGCAAAGTCCTCAGGTCGTCCGCTTCGATCGTCGGCCTCGGGATATTCCCAATCAAGATCAATGCCATCCTGCAAAGTAGCATCGATGTTAATGAAATGCTCTGTTGTATGCGCCATATTGGCACAGTGTTTTCACTTACCAAGTCATAGGTTTCCAACATCTTGATCGTGGAATCGAAGAACTTCTTCTGGGCACTAGCAGACCTCGCAATATCCGAGAAAGTCGTCGCAGTTGGACCTGGGTCATTGAATGTCCAGCCGCCAACAGCAATCAGAACTTTGAGATTGGGGTCCTTGGCTTTGAGAGCAGAGACTCGCTTGTACATCTCGAGGTCTTCCTTCTTGGCAGGCACAATCTCAAAAGTCGTGGGATTGATGCTGGCAAAGGCAATGTTGATGTGAGAATAAACGCCACGAGGAATTTGCTCTGGGTAGAAGCGGTTGCAAGATCGCGAGGCAGACCATGTCTCATAGTATCCCACGACACGCTTGAACTTGCTGCTCTTGTCAACGGTACAGCTAGGCCTGCTGACCTTCTTGTTACCACAGAACTCTTCAGTGGTTCCGCAGAAACCGTGCTTGGAGCAGCAAACCTTTGATGAAGCACATGTTCAGTGGAGAGCTGTTTGGTATAAAAAGGACTACACTCACGTTCAGCGGGCATGTTGTCTTGTTGACGTAGTCTTTGCCAAAGCCACCAGGGTCGCATTCGGCTTTGCGATCGCAGTTGTTAGTGCAGACGGATTTGCTGCAGTCTGAGCCGTGCATCAGTACTCAGTAATCCGGCGAAGAAGGAGACTTTCTGAATTTGAGCTTACAATCAGCTCCGAAACCACAGAAGCCGAATTTACTGCAACATCCAACCTTGCATGGTAGAGATGCGCTACACTCGGTACCATCCTGAGCGTTGGCACTTGCGAGCAGGCATGAAAAGAAGGTTAAGAGAATTAGAGTGAAGAAACTCCTCGAAGACACCATCATGCTAAACCTGCTCGATCGAGACGGTGAAGACCTGATTAGTTGGGTGTGGAAGCTGGAAAGACAGAGCGCAAAAGTGAAGAAGTGCACTCTCAACAGGAAGCAAGCCAATGTAATACTTCAGCGGGCGAGGGCACCACACATCACACGATACTCGGCCCCTCGATTCATCATATTTCATACCCTTTTTATTCCGAGATAGACTCGATAACTTCATATTCAGTCTTCAGGGGCCTGCGTAAGAGTGGGAGTGCATCGGAAACGGGCGACATCGCCGTTTTCGCCACTACGAATAGCTTCCTCAGCTCATTTTCCGCTGCCTCGAGTGACTCAAACTCAATCTTCGGAAATTGGCTGACGGACTTTGATCGAAACTGGAAGACGAGGTGCATCAGGCATAGTCCACAATCACGCGGTGCTTCCTTCAAGCAGTACCCATGGCGAGCCAGGAAAGTCTATAGTCTTGCTTGAGTATGCGGGTGCCTGAACGAAGCGTGTCCACCCTCTTTGATACTTGCATCACAGGAGATCCAACGGCAATGAAGGGTCAGCTCATTAAGTATATTACTGGTCAGAATGTACGAACAAACACGGGAGCAAGTGAAAGTCCGAAGAAATCAGGGTTCAGGACCCTGAATAGCGCGCCCCATTATCCAGGATGGCAATCCGTCAACCATGATATGCCCCATGCTCATCAACTCGCCAAGGTCGATGATTTGTGAGAGGAATTCTTTCTTCAGTCGAGACATAAGCTTGTTTCCTCGCGAGCCGGCTTGGCTATCCCGGAGCGGACCGACCGATCTCAAAGAGGAGAGATTGCCGACTGTACCTTACAGACCGGGTCAAGTGCGATGCAACCCATCCATGCGCGTTCGATTTGGCATTTCGTCGCCTGATGACTGTCGAGGATTGTATCCTTGACGGTGTGTCTCCGCCTCTTTCCGGAATCCAGCACTCCGTATAAGATATTTCTCTCTCAAAATGGCTGCCTGGCGGCCGCTGCGAGGACATATTTGCCACGACCCACCATTTTCCATCGGAGAGGACTCCGGAAGCCCTTGCATTAGTGCTGATTGCCCATCAGGACCTGCAGGAAATTATGGTATTCTAAACTTCTTCATTTACACAGGAATGTGGTTAACCGGAAGAATGAACTCATTAGGACTAGAGATAGGTGTGGAGAGTGGACGCATGGGCTTACTGTTAAGCATAGCCAACAAACTGCATACCCCAGTGCAAGCCATTATCGTAGGGTCAGAACGATCATGAACTCACAAAAACGAACACCCTTGTCCTGCCCGTGCTCCTCGCCAAGCACGTAAGCTTATTATTCTTCTTGCTTCCCACTCCACAGCCCAAGGGTCATGGCGGGGAGACCAACTGTGTTTGGGACTTTGGTCAAGTAAGGGTCTAAGTGCATATGCAACGACGGGTGACTCCGGAAATGAGACATTCAATTATCGGTCTCATGACAGGATGGAGTCTTGCTGAACAGCGCTTGGTATAGATGATAACTGGAATCACCTTGAGTTTGTGACATTCTGTCTTTCTCACACGCATGCCTCGTTGAATTTCACCAGGTTCGTCGAAACCTGCAAAGTCAAGCACGATGGGTCGTCTCAACGTCCTGATGAGCAGCCTGCTATTCTCAGTCACTCTTTTCGCATGTCTTGCAACAACTGTCTCGGGTCATCAGCACTCGCATCACAACCATGCTCACCTGCATGCTCGCGCCGACAACAAGAACTCCAGTGCCGCGAACATTGTAGAGGAAGCACTCGCTGCTCTTAAGCTTCTCAACAAAGCCAGAGTCGAGAATCCACACTTTAACAAGTATGAGTTTCATTCTGGCTCCAAGACACCGAGTCTTGCCCCGGCTTTGGATGCGCCTGCCGTGATCAGCAATGATACTACGTTGAGAAGGCGTCAAAGCCAGAACAACAGCAGTGCCGAGATCTCCGCTCCAAATTTCTCTATCTCCCCTGAGCTAGCCGAGGCCGCCAAACTTCTGGCAGAGTCTACGCCTCAAGTTCCTAAGGGAAACCACAGCGAGGTGGCTAAAGCCATAAGAGAGAAGTATGCACACAAGACAAATGACACCAATACTCCAGAGTCGCTCAAAACTCCCGAGGGGCGGCTTTCGGTATACGGAGATGACAAACTGAGCAAGCGTGCCGAGGAGTGGTGGATGGTCAGCATGGGCTCATCCGGAACCAGTCCCTTCGCTCCTAGCGGTTACAAAGTGAGTGTAATTCTTAACCAAATCATCATCAGAGAGACTGAAAACATTGACTCTACGTAGGTTTGGAGAAACGTGAAAGATTATGGCGCAAAAGGCGATGGTGTGACAGATGATACAGATGCTATCAACAAAGCCGTGAGCGACGGCGTCAGATGCGGTCCTGACTGTGGCTCGAGCACGATTTATCCTGCTGTCGTTTACTTCCCGCCAGGGACGTATCTGGTCAGCAGTCCGATCGTTCAATACTTTAACACAGAATTTCTCGGCAATGTGAGTTGACATTGGAAATCAACGCTTGTGAGTTGCTGACATCAATGTTTAGCCTCTCGATGTACCAACACTGTTGGCTGCGTCAAGCTTCGTGGGCCAAGGTGTCATCAAGAGTGATGTCTATATCAGTGATGACGAGGAATGGTATGTGGAAATCCCTCTGGATGCAATCTCTGTGATGTGGCATATGCAACGTTAACGTCCCGGCGGTCTTGTCTGTTGTTGACTTCCTCTATCTCAGGTACCTGAACACTGCAAATTTCCTTCGAAGTATCAAGAACTTCAAGATTGACATCAGACCCGCATCTTCATGGACTTACATGTGTGGGATCCACTGGCAAGTCGCACAAGCAACATCTCTGGAAAACATCGAGTTCTACATGCAATTTGAGTCGGATGTTCCTGGCAACAACCAACAGGTTAGTTGATCTCTGAAATGCAAGCACCCTTTTACTCAAGAATACGTATCTCATATAGACCTACAGGGCGTTTACATGGAGAATGGATCGGGTGGCTTCCTAGCTGATCTCACCTTTGTTGGAGGTGCATTTGGGTATGCTTCCCGCCATTCTGGGAAGAATGATCTGCAGAGACTGACCATTTGGTAGAGCATACTTCGGAAACCAGCAGTTCACGACTTCACACCTAGTGTTCGTTAATTCCGTTGTTGGTGTCCAGGTCCACTGGGACTGGGCCTGGACTATGCAGGACTTCATCTTTGAAAGTTGCGGGACCGCGCTTCTCGTCGTCGGCGGTGTAAGCCAGCCATTAACTTCTACTTGATTTTGGAAAGGAATCTGACAGAACAAAACCTAGGCTGGAGGTCCAAAGTCGACTGGACAAGGAGTGGGATCACTCATATTGGTGGACTCCATCATCGCAAACACCCCCAAGGGCATCGTCACAACGCTCTATGCCGAGAATTCTACCTCATTTCTGCTGCAAAATGTCGGATTCTTCAACACCATAACGGCAATCACTGACAACGAGACTGGAAACATCCTCCTGAACGGCGGTAATTCTGTTGTTGTCGATAGCTGGGGTTTCGGTCGTATTACGAACGCTACCACGGGTGCTGGGCAAACATCCTTTGTCAATGGCGAACACATCGCTGTCATGGAGCGAAACGAGGGCTTGTTGGGTGACGCTTATGACAACCTGAAACCGAATCTTTTCACGAGAAGACGACCCAAGTACCAAGATGTTCTTTCTAGCAAGGTCATGAACGTCAAGACACTTGGTGCCAAAGGCGATGGCAAGACGGACGACACGAGCGCGCTGAATTCAATCCTTCAGGGTGCCGCGAATACCTCTTCCGTTGTATTCTTCCCCTACGGTGTTTACCTTGTGACGGACACTCTTCGCGTACCCGTCGGCTCCCGTATCATCGGACAGGTTTGGCCCCAGATCATGGGCACAGGAGACAAGGTTGGTAAAAGACCGTCTAAAATTGGTGTGTTCACCAAGTACTGATAAGCTAATTCATTCTATTCACCCACAGTTCTCCGACGAGACCCAGCCAAGAGCCGTGGTTGAGGTTGGTAAAGCTGGAGATGTTGGAATTGTAGAAATCACAAGTATGATGGTTACCGTCAAGGGGCCCACCGCAGGCGCCGTTACCATCGAATGGAACGTTGCTGAATCGAGCACCGGATCTGCTGGCATGTGGGGTGAGAGTTCCTGTTCAGTTCGAAATCATTCTTGGCAGGCGTCTAACAGCATTGCTTGACAGATACACACGTTCGTATTGGCGGTGCAGCGGGGAGTGATCTGTCCACCGCAAATTGCCCCAAAAACTCTGGAATCGTCAACTCAAGGTGCAAGGCTGCTTCTCTTCTGATGCACTTGAAGCCCAAATCAACTGCATATCTCGAGAACGTTTGGCTCTGGACTGCAGATCATGACCTTGACAAGATCACTCTCGATCAAATCGACATTTATGCCGGCCGTGGTCTCCTCGTCGAAAGCGCAAAGGCTTGGCTCTGGGGAACCTCAGTAGAGCATAATGTCTTGTACCAGTATCAGTTCTCCAACGCGAAGAACGTGGTCATGGGAATGATCCAGACGGAGTCCCCTTACTTTCAACCCGTCCCTAAAGCACCCACACCGTTCACGACTGGCCTGTTTCCCAACGACCCGACATTCAGTGGCTGTGTGGCTTCCTCCTCCGCAACATGTGCCGTCTCTTGGGCAGTCCGAATCATCGACTCTTCTTCCATCTACATGCTCGGTGCCGGACTCTACAGCTGGTTCATCGACTATAGTCAGGACTGTTTAGACACAGAGAACTGTCAGGAGCGCGCTATGGAAGTGCAGCAAAGCAAGGACATCTGGATCTACAACCTCTGCACCAAAGCTATCGTTGAGATGGTGTCGCCTTTGGGTAGTGTTCCAACATATGCCAAAGACAACGTGAATGGATTCCTGGCCTCCGTCTTAGCATGGCTTCAGGGTTCCACTGACGTAGCAGGCGAGCGCGAGTTTGAAGGTTATCGTGTATGGACGAGCGGAATGCTGGAACAGCTCTACGGCCTCGTCTTGCCAGAGACCTGCAGCAGTGCTTTGACCGAGATCATTGCATGTGATAATCGCACTGAAGATTATCAAGGGCCTGGTATTCGCAGCTGGCTTGGGAATGTCAACGATACCGACAGCGTGTGCGCCGAGTCTTGCGGAAAGAGCCTGAAGACTTGGTTTGACAGTGTTTCCATCGCTTGCGCGGGATACGAAGTCAACGATGCGCTGCCAACTCTTCTCGGAGGCCGCATTTGGGATGGGTGGAACCAGACTTGTTTGAAGGATACCGACAGTGGCAAGTATTGCGGTGAGATCATAGACGGCTTCACCACGGTCTCTACCATTGAAGAGATGCCCAAGAACGAGCTTTGCTCATTCTGCTGGGTGGAGCACTATGCCATCCCTCAACGTTCACGGTACTCCAAGTACGACTCCTTTATCCAGTCTCAATATGAGTATACGGTCACCGAGTGCGGTACAGCCGGTGTCAACACGACTATACCCGAGACACCACTCATCATCGAAGACCCGGCAACTTACTGTCAGACTGACAAATGGTACACTACGGCTGAAGGGGACACATGCGACACAATAGCCCAGTCGAACAGCGTTTCTTCAGCAACACTTTACTTCGAGAACCCAGACACGATCTTCGATTGCTTCAATATCGAGGCCGGCTCCAAGCTGTGCATCCCGCCGCCCTGCACTCTCACATGGGTCATCCAGCCCGACGATACCTGCGCCTCAATCGAGTACAACCTGACCATGACAGCCGTTACGCCGGTACTCGGCAACACCCAGAAGTACAATCGGTGGGTGGACAAGAACTGCGAAAATCTACACATTGCCAGCGCCGCCACCTTTGGCCACGTTCTTTGCATGTCACCGCCGGACGGCGCCTACGCTGGCAATGACACCGTCAATGGAGACACTACCACGCCCACCAACGCGCCGGGTTACAGTGAAGAGATCATCGATCCGCCTGCGGGAGCAACAGTCGCGGATGGTACGACTGTGTATTGTGGGTCATGGCATGTCGCGGCCGTCAACGATACCTGCAGCACCATAGCCTTCAGCAGTGGCACGACGATTACTCTTTTCTTGGAGGTCAACCCTTCTCTTGGAACTGAGGTTGCGGGTTGCACCGAGAAGTTGGTACAAGGAAATGCGTACTGTGGACTGCCTTTCGTTGTTTGGGATGAACTGGATGGCTCTTGGTGATAGTAAAGCTGGACGATGCGGGATCCCTTAGTCGTATTCCTATTCTAAACCTCTGGAAACTTAATAGCGGCAGTCGAAGCCGACGCCCAATGCATCTCCATGTCCGTTCGAATACCTACTTAGACAAGGTGAGACTGATGACATGGCATCTATCATCTCAATGGCCACATGTACCTTAGTAATGCAATGTTATCATCTTTCTTGTTGTTACCCTTTCTTCTTGTTACCCGGCCTGCCTTACCCAAGCAGAATTGAGTTGGTATGATGCCTGACTCGAGCCGAAGTCTCTCCCCGCCGCCGCCGTAGCAACTAATCTCCACAAATTCGAGTTAACCTCAAAATGGGTTGGGTCATGAGAGCCGGTCCTCCTTATTCTTTGTGACCCCTTCATTATGTCATCCATCCAACCTGTCCAACAAACAACCCCGCGTCCACGAGTAGGAACCCCGTCATTAGCAATCGGCTTCGCTCCTCCTGCGTAAATTGTCCGTTTGCCAACTTTGGGCCCCAGGTGCTGTCCTTCTTCACGATCACTCCCTAAGCGAAAGCTTGCATCATCGAGGATGGGGTTGAACGTGGTGTTGTTGGCCCAGGCACTAGGCGCGCTTGCAGCGTTCTACGTTGCCAAATTTGTTGTCCGACTGGTCCAAGTCAGGTCGAGAGTGCGGGCCGTCTCAAAAGATCATGCAGTGGTATGTAGTCAATCTGGAAAGCTCATGCGCTCCGAGCATTTGTCTTGATCAAATGAGCTGATTGATGATGCGCCACAGGAAGTCCTTCCTCACTCGTTCATCTTCGGCCACCTTTTGCTTATTGGCAAATTGATGGCAAAGCAACCTCCGGGACTCAATGGCCAAGTGCTCCCGCTTTTACTGTTGAGAGAATATCCGGACCTCTGCAAGAAAGGGCTAGTCTACGTAGACACCTGGCCCATCGGCCCGCCCATGATTGCCGTCTTTCACCCAAAGATTGCAGATCAATTCACACAGGAGCGTTCGCTACCAAAACATTCCATGATGAAAGAGGAGTTTCACCCACTGACGGGGTGCGATGATCTCGTCAACATGGAGGGCCAGACGTGGAAGACATGGCGGACCGTGTTTAACCCAGGGTTCTCAGCTCGGAACATCCTCTCATTAGTCCCTGCAATGGTTGAAGAAGCATTAGTTCTCAAAAAGTCCTTCGAGGCTCTTGCTAACTCGGGAGCGACTGTTGCTCTGGAGGACGGTGTTATGAAGGCCACTGTAGACGTCATCGGCAGAGCGGTTCTGTGAGTCCCTCCACTCGCCCCCATGAGGAGTTTCGATTCGAGAGCTTTCTCGGAAATTTGCTTCAGCTGACTGTCTCTGTCCTAGGGGGACTCGCCTCAATGCACAAACAACAAACTCCCCCGTTTTCAGAGCTCTGCAGAAGCAGATTGGCTTGCTGATCCCAGACAATAGCCCGCCCAATCTCCTAAAGTCTATCAATCCCTTGCGGCCTTTTCAGATGCTTTACTACAACTACGTCATGAAGCGCGAGATCGTTCCGCATATCGAGCGACAGCTCAAAGAAAACATATCAGAAAGAAGCAACAGTAATGGTCCCAAAACCGTCAACAGTCTAGCAATAACTTCCTACATCAAAGAGGTGTCCGCGGCTGGCTCCAAAGCCGAAGCGAAGCTCGACTCTCAGTTCATCGACATTGCCGTTTCTCAACTCAAGATATTTCTACTTGCAGGTCATGATACCACGGCTAGCGCTCTCTGCTTTGCCTGGTATCTTATGAGCAAGTATCCCGCTATTCTCGAGAAGGTGCGGTCCGAGCATGATGAAGTCCTTGGGAGCGATGCAAGCGCCGCAGCATCTCGGATTGTCGAGAACCCCGCGTTGCTGAACCACCTTCCCTATACCAACGCCGTGCTGAAAGAAACGCTCCGCCTCTACCCCCCAGTCGGGACGGTACGACAGGGAGCTCCCGATGTGTTTATCACCGACCCGGAAACAGGCGAGCGATTCCCCACCGACGGGTTCATGATGTTCGTGGCATCGCAAGCGATGCACAGATGGGACACGCTTTGGCCAGAACCTGACACAGTCATTCCTGAGAGATGGCTAGTCAAGGAGGGCGATCCTCTTCACCCAGTGAAGAGTGCATTCCGACCCTTTGAGCTGGGTCCTAGAAATTGTATTGGCCAGGAGCTGGCTTTCGTTGAGATGCGACTCATCTTGGCGTTGACTGTGAGAGAGCTTGAAGTTGTGCCGCAATTTCCCGAGGACGCGCCAGAGGTTTTTGGGGAGAAAGGTTTCCAGTGGATGACAGGAACACAGATCACCGCTCATCCTAAGGAAGGGATGCCAGCTAAGATCGTTAGGAGGTAACAGGTTCTTGGGTTTGTTTCAAATCCTTTTTCGAGGGAATCGATGAACGTGTCCAATCAGTTCGTACTTCCACGAGCTTGTCTTTATCTGCAGGAAAGGGTGGCAGTTAGCACCTTACGTGTGATACTCACAACCAGTTCAAGAAATAACTAAACGCCCTGGACGCCCCCGCTTTGTAACACTCAAGACGTGAGAATAAGCTTTGGTGGTAAAGACATTCTATGAGAGATTCCATTTCGGGAAGAGACATCGCTAGTGCTGACGCTCGGCACCCATGTCTTTGCTCAGACAGCTGTGCTGAATAGACGGGAAATCTGTTGGTATCCGTATCACAGGATGATTGGTTCGAACCGTGGGTTGACGAAGAGGTCAATTTAACTATATGATCTTCTGCGTAGGTGTAAAAAGGAAGTTCCAACCGTAGGTTGGGCAGGCCGCGGTAATCGTAAGTAGGGGCCGTAATTGGCCCCTGCGCGGGCACGCTTACGTCGAGGTCGATTTGGACTTCCAATCCGACAAAATCGTCGCATTTTGGATCAACAGCGAATCAAACTGTATCTTACTTCTAAAGCCGGAAAAATTGAGTTGACAACACAAGTTGACAAACACAAGTTGACAAACACAAGTTGACAAACACAAGTTGACAAACACAAGTTGACAAACACAAGTTGACAAACACAAGTTGACAAACATAAGTGGCCTTTGTCATTTCTTGTCGTATCCGAGCGAAAGATCAACCCATTGGGCAGACCGTTTCTTGAGCCGTGTGTTGCTGTTCGCGGACACCCTGATTTCTTCTCACTCATCCATTACCGATGGTGAAGAGAGAAGACGACGCGCTTTGCGTCAAACCATTAGCCTTTCATTTACTCCAAAGCTACAAGCGAAAAGCCTTCGCTGCCCCAATGTGCACATGCGGCTTGCGGATGCGGCACGCTGTGCCAAGTCGGCACAGTGCCTTTGCTTATCACAGCTTTGCGTGGGCCCCTAAAATATCGCGAGAGTCCTCTTTCTCGGTGAAAGATCGTTGTCGGCTCCGAAACCCTGCTCCCAAGGTCTTGGCTTTTTTGGGTTACGACGGGTCAATGCGACCTCGACAGCTTGATCCAAAAAGGTCTCATAGCTAAGCCTACAGACAAGAGATGGCTGACAGAACTCTGCCCCAGCTTTAATACAACCACAGACCAAGCCGGAGGGAGACTTCACGATGTAAGCCTCGAATTAAACTATGTCCACTCAAGTTCCAACTCAATTCCTTATGTCCGCAAAGAAAGCTCATTCAAAATTACAGCACACCCTGGAATTTTGGAGTCACTTGCTGCATCGGGCCTGAAGTCCATTCGGGGATAGCTCCATCAGCCGTCGGGGATCCCACTCGGTTGCATCTACCGGCAAAACCCCCCGCCTTGTTGTGCAGGTTTAGCTGTCAGCGCTAATAAAGATTCTCTCTTTTATTCGTCAAATCGAGGGCAATCTTTAATATGAACCTGTCAGGTCTTGGGGCCGTCCAACGCCGCCCTCGGGAACCGCTCCTTACCCGCTGTTGGCTGGGTGGGTGAAGACAGCCTTGTTTGCCTTTTGCATCGTCCAATTTCTACTATTCCTCGTTGTCTAGCGTATATTGATAATGTGGGACATATCGTTCAAGAAACTTGAGATGCTTGGTCCGCTTCCTTGGCTACATGTAACTGCACATGCCCTTCCATGCGGAAATGCTCTGGTGATTGTTTCCGGCAGCACCACCTCTGTTCTGTGCGTGATAGCACATCTAATCATTACCAAGCATGGATATTTGATGCACGCAAGTCTACTTGAAATGATGTATCACGAAACTTGGCCCGACGTGCATGCATATCACTCTTGAGCATCAGACGAACCGGGCAAGACTTTAGCAGGAGGGTATAGCCCGAGCGGCGTAAGTCTCATTTGGTTGCTAGCGGGGGCGAGCTGAGCATTGCAACCTAAACTAGGTTAATAGATTGAGTCGCATTCTCGAAAGCAGCCTGCACCTTGGCAGCACTAGGACTTGAGCCTGGGCCAAAGGGAGGCAAGAGATGGAGCCGAAAGATGAGCATGGGGAGGAGGGGAAAGTCGGGGCTCCAAGACCTCACGCTGTGTATAGAAGCGAGACCCCGGTCAGTTCTGATGATTATAAATGAGGTCTTCTGACCGTTGGCGTCTGGTGAATGAGGCGTTACTCAAGGTCATCCGGACTCTTCAAGGACTAGTTGTCGCCATGGTTCAATTTTCAACAATCTTGCTCAGCCTGGCGGCAGTCACCCAAGGCGTCTTCGCCGCCGAGCTGGTGCCCCGTAGGTGGCAAGGGAAGCAGTATGGCTGCAAATGCTACTTTGGCGATACATGCTGGCCCAAGTCTAATGACTGGAACCAGCTCAATGCGACGGTCGAAGGAAACTTGCATGCTCACATCCCTCCCGAAGCTGTCTGCCACAACACCTTCAACGGCACCCTCGGCACAATCCAAACATACGATGCGGCAAAGTGTGCTGAGCTTACTGCTATCTACTCGGATGAGCAACGGTCGTAGGTCAACTCCGTTTATCGTGTTCGCTGTCACATGGAAAGCAGAGAACTGAAGAGCTGATTCTCGTCCAAGAACGGATCAACTGGGTCTTAACCTGTGGAAGTACTTCACCAACGCAACATGTCAGCCTACCGAAAACCCCGAAGAGCCTTGTACGCTAGGCAACTATGGTGTCTATGTTATTGGGGCGACCAAGAAGGAACACATCAAAGCCGGTATCGATTTTGCCAGGGACAACAACCTCCGCCTCATCATCCGCAACACGGGCCACGACTTCATCGGACGTAGTACCGGTTGGGGCGCCCTCATCATCAACACTCATAGTTTCCAGGACATCACTTTTACCGGGCAATGGACCGGTCCCGGTGACTACTCCGGCAGCGCTGTCACGCTCGGCGCCGGAGTCCAAGGCCGCGCCCTGCTGAGGGCAGCCAATGCCCAAGATCCTCCCGTCGTCGTCGTCACCGGTGAGTGCCCCACCGTAGGCGTCGCCGGAGGTCTCGTTGCCGGAGGAGGCCACGGCCCTCTGACGACACTGCACGGCATGACTGCCGACAACGCACTCGAGTTCGAGGCCATCACCGCCGAAGGCGAGTACGTCACCGCCAACGCTGACGAGAATCCTGATCTCTTCTACGGCCTCAAGGGCGGCGGGCCTTCTTCGTACGCCGTCGTGACATCAGTGACGTTCCGGACGTACCCCGAGGAAAAGGCAGCCGGAGGGGTTTTGTATATCAATGGAACCAGCGGAGTCAACGAGACAACTTTCTGGGAGGGAATTCGCGTGTTCCATAAATGGTCTAACCATTTCGTCGACAGTGGTTTGTACGTTTACTGGGAGCTCGGTCCGATGATGCTCAATGTGCAACCGTTTGTGGCGTTTGGGAAGACGCAAGGGGAACTCGATGTAATCATCAAGCCTATGCTTGACGAGCTCAAGGCCAGCAACGTCCCCTTTGAGTCTTCCACCAAAGGCTTCGGCTCATTCTTCGCCCTTTACACGGATCTTTTCCACGACGAACAAGCTGGCACCAACGCCTTGACTGGCGGTTGGATGTTCAGCCACACTGATGTTGAGAAGCGGAACGACCAGATCGTTGATGCTTTCAGGACTGTTGCCACTCCCCGAGAAGGCCTATCTGGTTTCATGGTGGGACATTTGTGAGTACCTTACCTTGACTTTCGCCCCTGAAGTAAGTCTAACTTTAGACAGTTGGAATGCTGGCCATGCATGGCCGGTGGCAAACAGTGCGACACATCCAGCCTTCAGAAACGCGACCAACTTCATCATCAGTGTCATGCCGGTACCCATTGGCGCCAGTCTTGAACAGAAGGCTGACCTGCAAGACGTTTTGACCAACATTCAGGATGAGGCCTTGAGACAGGCTGGTCCTGATGGATGTACCTACGTCAACGAGGTGAGTTCTGCTGAATTTGGTCATAGTAGGAGGAAGATTGACTGACCATGTTATCAGGCTGATCCCTCCCAACCTAATTGGCAAGACGCTTTCTGGGGCCCGGTCTACCCCACGCTGCTTGACTTGCGCAAGAAGTGGGACCCCAACGGCATCTTCTATGCCGTTGCGACTCCTGGTACAGAGGACTGGGAAGAGATCGAGTATAACACGAGACTTTGCAAGAAGCTTTAGACCATAACAACTGTAGGACCCGGTTCCTGCCTTTAGTCCTCCCAAGGTACAAAATGAATAAAAAACCACATATGTGTTGGTTCATAGTCTGAGTAAATGACTACAAGGTGGGTTTGAGAGGACGAGTTCCTGCTGTCTGTATATTTTGGTCGCTGTATTGAATATATGTACATGACAATTTGATACAATACCAGAGACTTTGGTGATGTTCAATGACCACATTATTGGCCTTCGGCATGGCTATAATCCGTTGAACTCAAGGTTCAAATGTTGCCACTTTTCAGACCCTCAGCACCACAAGCAGCCCAAAGTCTCTGATTTCTCATTTTCTATTCTGACGAATCGTCTACAGTGAATCGAGCCTAGCATCCATGTAAACCATATATTCTACCTGGGCAAGCTCGCTGAATGTTCGGCGGACTCACGATCTATCATCTAATCTCTTCGTTCTGGACTGGTTGGTACCGGGAGATGTCGCCGCATCCTAGTGACAATCTCCAGATACTCATCATTATTTTCAGAGTTCATGATGTTGTGGCGGATAAAAAAGTCGAGCATGACCAGAACGCAATTTGGCTTGAATTGCTCACCCAACATGGCATCCTTGACCTGGTCAATCGTCATCAGCTCAAACCCGGAAACCTCATCATCGCCCGGCTGAGGCTCGATCGACTCAGGCAGCTCAAGATCGTAGACGTAAAGAACAGTCGGGAAAAATGTCCCCCTTTGCTTGTTCAAGCTGCAGTACGTTACCGCTCCAACAGCTCGAGCATTCTCCTTGACAAAGTCCGCGGGCAGCGACGCCTCCTCCGTCGCCTCGGCGATGATGCAGTCGAAGGGTGAGTCCTCGGCCTTGACGCCGCCCGCGACAGTAGTATCAAGTAGGTTCGGGAAAGTGAAGAGGTGTGCGCTTCTTCTCGGTACCCAGATCTTCATCCCTTCGCTCGTTCTAACATAGGCCGTCATGTGTGCCCCGCGCGACGAGATGCCGAACAGAGGTGCTGGAAATCGCTCAATCGACACAAAGTGGTTCGCGCCAATGATTCTGAAATGCTCGCTGTGGAGCTTGTTCAATGAGGGGAAATATTCAGATGCAATGGCGGCATCGACGACGCGCTGGAAGGCAGCTGTGCGTGTCTTGCCCGGGTCCTCGTCATCTTTGGTCGTTGTGTTGAGTAACTGCACTACACGCTTGTCGTGGTCGACGTGGAAGTCCACAGTCCACGGCAGACGCTCTACGGTGCTTTGGACCATGAAGCCATGGGGCCTAGAGTCATTTGGTAGAAAGAGCTTGTAGAGATTGTTGAAGTCAAAGTCCAGAGGGACTCTGGAAGGCTGTTAGAAACCCGATTCATGAGGGGGATTTTAGTAATTGGGTCACTGAACTTGTCGACTTTGTTGATCAGAGGCAGAAAGCTTTGAAGGCTCTGAGATTCACTGCCTTGTAATTTCGTCATTATCGATGTTCAATTGTAGGAAGGATGCTAAATTAAGGTACTTGATGGATCGATGTGAACGGAGCGGCGTTGTTGACTGTGAGAACACAATTCCAAGCGTGAGGTGACCCCACCCGCAGCGGATGACTTGTTGGGGTTAGCCAACTTGCCGCCCAGCCGCAGTGCAAGCGGGGCTCGGCCACACATAACTTTGGCATGCTGAAAAGCTCGTGATTAGGAAGTTCTCCAATGCAACATGTTTGTTGTACTTTACGAAAGCGGTGTGCCATCAAGGATCCCAATTTATCCCCTGTCACGGACAGAAAACAAGATACTGACTTCTGAGTGAAATATCAAGTGTTTACTTGGAATTTAGTTACGAACACAACCCTCAGGCAAAATGCAAGACCATGTCTAGTGCAAGAAAACCAAAAACGTTTGTCGTGAGCCAGCTTGTTCCCTATGGCGTGTCCAGCTCGACACGCTAATCAGGTACTGTTAGATACCTAGGCCCCAGAGGCCATCAAAGTACTTCTCATCGTCATCGATTCTCTCACGAAATGGGCACTCCTGTATTCAGTGCCTCTATTTTATATCGCTTGGCCAAGGTTGTTTTCGAATAAGCGCGCATGGCTGTATGCCTGCGATGGCGGTAGCCTGCGATCAATCCATCCCCAATTCTTAAATAGCTATCAAGATGAAGGAAAAGAAAAGTGCCAACAGTACGTAGATATAAAACAATGATAGTATCTCCTTCAAGAGGCCGTGAATTATACACCAGATTAGCGTCAGACAATGAAATACCAAATACATAGCCGTAGTGCTAGACCTGGTCGGCCTGCTGGTATTAGGACGATGCTACCTCTGGAGGAACCCCAACCATAGCGGCGACACTGATAGCGAGGGCCGTCTGGTCGGGCTGTCTGCCTAAGGTAACGGTGGCCACGCTGTTGCCGTCAGGAGTTGGAGAAGCTTCTCTATCAAAAGGTTCGGCGCCCTTTGGGACTTCATGGAAGACGGCTTCATAGACTAGGAAAAAGGAATAGGCACAGAATGTCAGGACGATCGGGCCGTACAAGGTAAAGGTGTCTGGTAAGGGGGGCGCCCCTGAAGCCTGAGACATAGCCGTAGTGAAGTGCCCGGCCGCCATAATAACGCAGAACAAGTAGCTAGAGTCGAATTAACTGCTGTCAGATGTTTTCCAAATCAAGCGTCAAAACTTACAGTTGCCTCCGGTGGTTGGCGTTGCGCGGGATGCGCCGAGTTTGCTGCCAGAGGTATACCGAGAAAGCGGTGGCCCAAACACCGTACGTCCTGGGAAGATTTATCAGCAATCTTTGTTCAGAAAGTGGGCATGGAGGCTCACAGTTCCCATGACCAGACTGGAAAGCCCTCTGAAGTGCGAAGAGGGATTACGGTGACCCCTGAAACGGTGGATGTGAACCCTGAGGCGATGCGCAGGCCCCGAGCAACTCTGACAGCGGCGGCCGTTAACGGCAAACCATAACATGCGAGGAATATTCCTACGGCGAGCCTTGGTTTGAAAGAAGAACGACTTCGATGTTGCCTGGCCGGACTCGAATTTGTTGGTTTTGAGCCAATACCAGTCCATTCCGTACCCATAGAAGCGGGGCCGTGCCGCATGGAGTCCGCCAGTATCGACAATGTATCTGACTCAGTGATGGCCCCTTCCGGGAAATTTGTGGCGAGAGACTGGTCCAACCTGAAGCTCGTATCACAGTTGGTGTTGGTGTGTAGGAGGAAGAATGACGGTTTAACAGCATCCGTGTCAAAGATAGTCTCAGATTGAAACATATCGATGCAGAAACGGACGAGATTGAGAACTGAGACAAAGAGCAAGCTGACAACACAGCAGTTGATCCTTCTCGAGATCTCAGGCAGAAGGTTGGTATCGAGGGCGAGGGTGATACAGAGGGAGTTACTTAGCTGGCTAGCCATGAACATGAACCGGGCCAAGGCACGCGTGTCGGCACTCTCATCATCCCTCACAGACATCATGATCCGTCTAATATCTGACCGTTGGCCGACAGCCGTCACGAGGACTGTGCAAGTGCCTTGGAGGACCCTGCTTCCTGATATGATGGAGTGGTCGAGGTAGGCCATCGCTGTGTCTTCACCATGGTTGCCCAATATCTTGCCCGGTATTTTCTTCATAAAGTCTGACTTGCCGGTAGCCCAGGATTCGCCGCATATGACGTTGTATCCATCGATGAAGATCCCGTCAACCGGGACCAGATCGTAAGGCTCCAATGTAAGAACGTCGCCGACAAGTATGTCGTAAACTGGAATCAGTGTGTGCTTTCCAGATCGGATGACTTTGATCTCGCTATCATTCCTTTTGCGGCTCCACTCGCGGAACTGGCATTCGAGGGCACCGATAGCCATGACGATGAGCACTGCGGCCATGATGGCGACATGTTTGCCCCATTCGAACGTCAGAGTCCCTCCAGTGCTCGCGGCAAACGGTTGCAAGAGGTAGGGGGCGATTCCGAAGGTTATTGCCGCAATAATTGTGACAGGTATCAGCGCCTTATCGCTCGGCACCATCCGCATAAACTTCAACGGCAGTTTCTCTTCCGGCGGCAACCGTCTGGTTTCCCCGAATACTCTCCTGCAACACTGCAAGTCGTCGGAGTTGGTGTAGCCTTGCCCCAGATTACTTTTTGCTTTCCCAGAGGCTTCATGTACGCCGACAGGGCTCTGGATGTTGACATCTTCGTCGCTGAGACCAAAGCGCAAGTCAGTCTTGAGGCCCTTTGCAATACCTCGGAATCCGCCGAGAGCATAGAAGGCCGTCAGGCTCTTTGGGTTGAACATTTTGTTGAGCTGGCCTGGCGAATAGAAGAATGGGTTGTCTTCCGCCTTGAATGGGACCCGAGATTGGGCACAGGTAGGGGGTTCATGGGCAGACTGGTACTGAAAGGTCTCGGCGGTAGCACTCCCATCAGAATCTAGTTGCAGGCGATCGAGGTGTGTCATGGGGTTTTCGTGCTTGCCAACGGCGCCCGGTGATGGAGCAGTTTGTCTAATGCCATTCTCACACTGTGGTCCCGACACGCTGATGGGTATCGGCGAGACGCCACTGACAAGGGGAGATGTGCGAATGATCATGGTCCATAATGGAAACTGTTCCACGTCATGGAGTGATGGCTGCTTGTAGGGGCCTTCTTCGTTATATTCGAAGATCCTCTCACAGTCGGCAGAAGAATCATCGCATCCGTCGACGATACGCTGGGGACTAGTGATGTCGAGACTGCCTGGTTCGTGACTCTGGATACCAGTGAAGCCCTCGAGCTTGTCTGGGAGAAGGTGGACTTTTGGCGTATGGCCGAAGCTGTCCTCCAGCGGGGACATGACGAGAGACTTCCGCCGCGGACTGCGCTCGTATCGCTCGTGGACTGGGTTTAGCTTTCGATCCAGGGGTGTGATCGCAATGGAGTTGCGGTGCGATGATCTTGTCGGGCAAGAGATGGATAGATGAGAACAAGGGCAGGAGGGAAGAGAGAGGTTGACGTAGAGAGACAGAGAGGTGAAGCGAGTTTGAGAGATAGAGAGAGAGAGAAAGAGAGAGAGAGAGAGAGGGAGATGGGGGGGGGGGAGGGGGAGAGAGAGGGATGGAGTGGAAGTGAGAGATTCCGAGAAAGGAGGAAGGAGGGTGATGGTGACAGATGCAAGGCGGACTTGGTCTAGAGATGCTGTTCGGGTCGTTGTCGGTAGATGGTAGCCACTGAGTGCTACAACTTTGCTGTCGCCCTGTGGAACCCCCAACGTCTACATTGAAAGCCGCAAGACACTGCAAGTCGGTGGTACTTCAGCAGGCCTCGTTGCATACGAGAAATCCACCGGTAGAGTGCTGAAGGGATTGCGTTCCAAAAGAAAGTCACTTTCACCGCCCGAGGAAGGCGAGCATTTGTCTCTTGGTAGGGCCCGTGGTGTGAGGAACGTGTGTAGACAATATGGAAAAAGTAATGCACCGCCCCAGAGAGAGCCAAGAGAATTTCGACGTCACTTCGGTTCCTCGTCCCATTGGATACGGCATCTATTGAGATGGTTGCGTGGCGCTGTCTCCTTTTTGCAGTTTGGGCGCCACGAGCGGAGGCCTCAGAGCCTGATGGTTACACAATGACAAGAGAAGATCCTGACACAGCCTCACCGTGCCATCACTTCGCTATCACATCTTTGCCGGCGCCCATTTGCTTCTTCACCTCTCTCAGACATCCAAGAAAACGCTTATTACTTCAAAGATGATCGAAAACTCGCTGTCGACCTTGCTTCTGGCGCTAGGGCTGTCAGGACAGGGCCTCTTCGCGATTCTGTTGGGCCGGGCATCGTGGACGAAACGAGAAGTTGATTTCCTTCCATCAGCAATCGAAAGACAGTGGCCAGTTGACAAGATAGTCCACGAAACGCAGACAAGTAGAGATAACATGTCTGTAGCGACACAGAAGACGCAGCTTTCCTTTCCCCAGCTGGACCGATCTCTGCCAAAGCGCGGGGCAACAAGGGCGACGACAGTGCAGACTGAAGCAGTGGGGGCAACATCGACGAAGTGAGTAGATTGCGGCGGATCGAAATCTAGCGAGACTCAGTATTGACGTTTCCTTCACAGAAACGGACGTGATCCACAAGACCAGCCAACGTCATCATTCACAAGACTTCCTTCCGTGGACTTAGGTTGGACTTGGTGTAATTGCGAACATGTTTGGCTCGAGACGGGGGATATGACTCCCTCAAAGCGCCGAGTACCATATAAAACTGTCGGCCTCGTCTGCTGCGATATGTTCGCGACGTTTGTTGCAGGCTCCGCGGCGATCCTGATGAACCAAGTTTCCAGGATGACAGGAACAGACATGCGACGACCGCTGAGCGGAGAGGTAAGGCCATGACCGCAGAATGCCGAGAAATACTGACGCGACGCAGACTTCGACTGGCTGTGAGGCTTCTTCTTATATCGTTGATTTGGGTTGCCGGTTAGGAGCAATAAGGTCTCTCGAATGGAAGTGGGCGGGTATCGTCGCCATCGCCTGCTACGGCATCGCTATGAGCGTCCGCTACTCCATCCCCACGAATGGCAAACGACATCATGATTGGGTTATAGTCTCCGCATGCGTTCTGGGGATGATGGCGGGCAACCTGGCCGGCATGGAGCCGCCAGAGGTTCTATTTCAAGTCCTCCCGGGCCTGACACTAGCTTCCCTTCTGCTGTCCTCTTTCATGTTTGATGCGGCCGATCTTTTGAAAGCCCGATCACTGAATAGGCTAGTGGCAATGTCAATATTCCAGTCGGGACGGATAGCTTAAATTCTCTGGTTGAGAACACAGGCCTTCGCGCCTCCTGAGGTTGCGAGATATAGATGGGTGAGTTCCGAGGGTCTTTCGAGTTTCTGTGATATTTCAACATGTCTTTCGCAAGGGCGAAGCGTGGTGGTCTTGGTCGCGCAGGAAGATTCGTAATTAAGGGGGAAGGAGGGCTTTTCGTATGACACAGGCTGTTTGTACACCCAGTATGTCTTGGAGGTCGTCAGGGTATACGCACAGCCAGGGATTTGAACGTTGGCATCCACTTCAGCAACGTGGTTTTATTTGTGAAACGATGAGTGAATGAGTTGAATACCGAGCATCTGGGTATTTAAATTGCTCTGGATGTTCAGACACGCGGCTGGGTATGTGCGTGAGGGCCGGAATATGAAGTGGCGTGACTGATGTCGGTTGCTACATATTCTTGACGCCAGCAACAGGCATTTTTTCCGTGAACGTTCTCAATATTATTTTTCGTTGCGACGGGGAGCCGCATCGGCTGCCCCGGGTGCAGTGGTTAGATGTGAATGTGTCATGAAAGAGGAATCATGAGGGAGTTGCCCGAGCTTGGGCTTGGGTAGATGGAAAGTTAAGCTATTCCAAGAATGCCCAGGCGGCAACTCATGAAGACTATAGGGACGTATTGGTGGGTTGGCTCTCTGACAAAGAGACCCTAGACATGGTCGGAATGCTCTCTCCATGTGTTGTGGGTGGGCTTCCAATCTGATCCTCTTTGGTCGCCTTTCTCTTCTCTCGCCTGAATGAGCTGCGGCGTTATTGTGGCATGTTGCTTCCGACTTTTTCTCCAGTAGCTTATCAACAGTTCAATTTTAGGCCCCTAAAGTATTCTTCCCTTGTGCGAGAAATGCAAGAATCAAGGTTGGCATTTATAGAACCGACAGATGTTTCTGCGGCCGTACTGCATACTTGCTCCGTTCTAGCTCGCTGGTTCTGCAGATGAGATTCTCCATGGTCCTTTATCTTGTTCCGGATATTTCTGAGACTACTGAGTAGTTTGTGTCTTCCTTGAGATACCTAAGGCTACGTCAATGTCGCCCCGTTAGCTCCTTGAAGAAGGACGTTCCTGCTTTTTGGTGTCCGCGCTGACTGGTCATCGTTACCCGCCTCCCGCTCTAGAAGACTAAAAATGTCTTCCAATACCCCCCAGTATGCTGGATATTCTTCTATTCCCTTCCTCTTGTTGCGCATCTCCTGTCGGAACCCTTTGACAGGCAGGCGCCGCATCCGCATGTTGTTCAAGGAGCATGGGCATACCGGACATCACGGCTCTTTCTCTAGCCCCGCCAGACTTTGAAGAGGGGAGGGATCAAGCAATGATGGATGAAGAAGAAGTGGGAGGGTGGGTGTTCGGCCTTTTGTAGGAAATCAATTTGATTCTATCAAGGTCATCTGCACACTCTTCGATGGTGCCACTTATTATCTGAACGCTCGAGTTGTTAAAGTTTTCAGTGATGATATCAAGGTTGATGTTACGACCCGCGCGGCCGACGGGTTATGCCGTAACGCCTAGATGAAAGAACTCTATTATACATTTTGATGCCTAGACTATGTGACAGATTCCAGTGCCATCTGTGCATTGTCTGACCGAGAGCCAGACTGGTCTCGACACCATAGTCTCAGGAAAAGCTATAGTCTCTACGATACCACTAAGCTGGTTTGAGAATTCGGCTGTCCTGTTTCGAGTCGTTCCGCTAATTTCACTGGTAGTCTTGAAACTGTTCGCTCAGAGATGGAAGATAACGTGTCTCGAATCAGTCGTTGATGCGAAGCGATCTGAGCAAACGACCCTGCCATTATCAGGGGCCATGAGAGCACTGAAAGACCTCTAGAATTCTGAGATGTATCTTCGAGTCTCTGAATGAAATCGCTCATGCACGCGTTGCTCTTCTCTCTCCACCATGTCTGGCAAACTTCTTGTGCCACCGGGGATGTGTAAAGATGTACCAGAAGACCTGTCCGCCATAGACCCCAGACTCTCCGGACGTTATCACTTGCTTCAGAACCAGGAGGAGGCTGCCACGAGATGATCTGCGACTCGATTGCTGCCAGTTGTATAGCGCGTTCAACGTCGTCTTTAATACATCTCTTTGATGCCGAAAGGCGTGCGAGCTGGGGCACAACTAACAGGCCTGTGACGAAGGCTGTTTGAAGTAAGCCGATCTGGCTTCTTATTCCTCCCTCATTATCCAGATCCTCAAGCTTGGCCGCGAGTTGGAACATAATCGCTACCTGCTTCTCTACGTCCGAGGGCAGACCTGTGGGACCCTCGCATCCCCATGTCTCAGCTCGTATGTAGATGCACGCCCTGAGTAGGAATCTGTACAGAGTTCGATCAATCTGATGAACGGACGAGGGAAGGACGTTGAGTATAAGATGGGTGGCAAAGTCTATATGGTGACTTTGTGTGCTGCCAAGCGTTAACTCCAGCACAGCCATAAGTGTAGTGGCTGCGCATAGAAACACAGGTCGCTCGTCCAGCCCAGCTTTGCAAATAATGATCCGTATTCTGATAGCCTCCATAACCTGGAAATGGCATAGCCTAGACAGATGTAGCGCTTTACTCGTCGGGTCTCGCATCATGTACTTTGCGCTGCTCAGGGCGAGGGCTGCGCGCATGACCAGATCGTCAGCGAGGACCAAAGGCATCGTGTACTTGAGAAAGAGGTCCAAGTCAATGTCATCAGGCGCCATAGATGGCATCGACTGCAAGACGAAGTGCTGAAACAGTAGCTGAAAATCGTCGGTATCTGATCTCAGGGTCGAATTCAGAATGAATGGGATATGCTGGATCGTTGGCGATACGTTGATAGTGTGAGCGAGGGTTGCGCCATCAGGGGTGGACTCAAAGGCAACCCCAGGGGTAGTGGGATGCGATCTCCTCTTCAATGATGACGATTCGCTCAACAACAGGTCATCGAGACTACAATGATCATCGGCTGCCGTTACTGACGAGATATGCTGAGTGACAGACTCCGGCACAATCTCATCTACCATCTCTGTGGGAACATGGGCAACGCGCTCACAGACAATACCTGAATCGGTTGTCGAAAGACCCCTGTCTTGGATCTTATGTTGCCGTCTCCTCGAGATCTTTGAGGTCACCGCTACTCAGAGTCAGCTTTTCGAATCTTGAACACCATTCTATCACAAGATTGCAGCTGCACCCACCATTGTGTGCAGGCGCCGTCTTGACTTCTTGCCAAATGTCGGGCCAGACACATTCAGTTTGTTTCGCAACACAGAAGTAACAGTCGGGACGGTTTTCATCGCACTTCTTTTTCCTACTTCTGCAACCCAGACACCCAGTCTTCTTACGCTTCTTTGTCATAATGAAATATGCGCTTGAGAAGCTGGGCGAACGCGTAAAGCCACAAGCGTGTATCGAAAACCTTCGGATGGATATCGTCAATGATGAGAACTTGCGATAGGAATCGGTTCCAGTTGTGGCAGGATAACTCAGACGTCTTGATCAGGAGGTCAATGTGAATAAATACCACTATGCCTTCTGCACACTGAGTGGAAAGACTCGCGCCTAAGTTGAAACCTGGCTATCCCATCGGTAATTACCCACTTGTCCCACTATGTTGCGTCGTTCAGTGCACGCCAGTGGTAGCGGGGCCTCCGAGCAAAAGCAACTGATCTTCATTGCAACACCAAAGAAACCGACGGGATGACATTTTTTCCCTGTACATAATTACTTACTCATACAACATGATCAATCTTACAAGGCTGCAATGGGCTGATTAGGAGGTCCAGAATCCTAGTTCCGTTCCCAGCACTATAACGATCTGTAGTCAGAAGACTATAAAATATTTCATTCAATGTTCAATGCCATTAAGGGCCAATACGTCAATCTAGTCATGGGTTGATTGGCATCTACAAATCTCAACTCCTGCCGGATTTGGCCAACTTGACATGGATGTTCTTTTGTCTCACAAACCACGCGTTCACAGTATCCCATTCCTTATCTGGATAGCTCAAACTGATCTAGAAGTGTGGAGCTGTTAGTCTGATTTCTACCAGTTTGGATGTATTCCTCACATCGTAGGTATAGAGAAGAGTTGGAATCGCTTTATAGATCTCAAGCAAGCTGATATTCTTGCCGATACACGTACGTGGTCCGGCACCGAACGTGAATGTTGCTCCTTGCATCTCTGCCTTCCGAATTTCATAACTTTTGAGAGGTTCGTGTTCGCCTTGCAGCCATCGCTCCGGCACGTAGGACTCGAGATGATCGCCGAATGCAGGATGACGATGCATGACCCATGGGTTGATACCGACAATGGTGCCCTCTGGCAGGAATGGGCCATCAGGAAGCTGTATTCCGGCTTTAGGAACAATTCTTTCGAGTAGCAGGCCGACTGCGGGATGAAGTCTGAGCGCTTCTTTGATAGCCGCATCCAGGTACGGCAGCTCTTGGCTCTCTTTCCATGTCACCGGTATGGACAGTTTCCCTTTTCCTCTAGCCCCCATAATTTCCTTCATGACTTTGCTCAGAGTCCAGGGGTTCTTAAGAAGGTAATAGAGCACCGCTCGTAGTGAGATTGCTGTCGTATCTGACCCAGCGTTGACGTTGCTGAGTGTCCATGAGAAGACCTGACGGTCATCGACAACCTGTGAGTGCGTATGTTTGGTTTCCAAGAAGCGAGTAAGGAAGTCGCGGTGGGAAGGATTTTCTACTTTTCCCTCGGGGCGATGAAGACGCTCCTCGAGACACTGACGCGCGAATCGAGCGACAGCTCCGGTCGACCCACCACCAAATTTGCGCTTGATCGGGTTCTTGATGAAAAGATGATCCAACCAAGGTATCTGGCCAATCTGAAGACATAGTGTGTCAGCGACTTACTACTCATTTTGCTCTTTATCAAACTCACCATTCCTGCATAGTCAACCATCTTTTCCAATGAAAGCATCACGTCACCGACGTCTTGGCCTTGCTCGAGAAAACCGAGCGGCTTGCCAAAGGTCAACTCCCCAATCACATCGAAAGCATCTAGTTTGAGACGCATTGATGTCAGCTGCTTGATTTAGAGTCACTAGGCTGTATCACCTACAATACTGTAGCCATGTCGCGAGATCCAACTCCTGTCCAGCATCGGCAAACTCGTCCAACTTCTCCAGCAGCTTTTCTATCGTGCTATCAACGAAGGGCTCGAACTCGGTCAGTGTACTCATAGAATAAAGACTTGAGATGGGTCTCTTGATTTTCGCATGGAAATCTTCGTCGAGGGTCGTAAAAAGGGTTTGCGTCGGTTTGCCGTTTGCCAGCTGCTGCTGTACCGCATAGAACTCGGTCTAGAAGAAGTATCTCAGCAAACGCTACGAGTTCTCCATGGCATGTCGAACTAACCTTGCGGTATCCCTTGTTTACACCATAAATTATCTTCAAGGCTTCGAGATTTTGGACACTGACTAGATTTGGACCAAGTCTCACGTACTGCCCGTATCGTGCATGGAGCTTGATGTGTGTCTCATGAGCCCTTCCTCGCGCTACATCAACGAACCTCCATATGTTGGAGATCTTGGCCAAAAATGGGCCTGGTATCTTGGAAACTCCTCTTCTTACGAAGTTTCGGACCAGGTGAATCGCTAAAATGCCCACAATCAGAATGGGAAGATGAGCTGAGACGGATGCAACAACTTCCGAAATAATGGCCATTTTTGCTATGAAATGAGGATGGAATTGCCGTGAAGTTGAGAAATACTCGGTAATGTCACTGGTTCGGTAGTTGAATTGTTCAATTTCTTGTCTCAGAATTTTGAGACGCCGGAGGCGAAAAGGTAGGGATAGAAGTACAACGACGTCCTTTTAGCAAGATAATGTTCATTCGGCCTCTCCGCGTTAGCCAATTAGCCAACATCTTCAAGAACAACGCTTCCGATTCCGAGATTCGCTCCCACACGGGCCGTCTTCACTGTCTTACTGTATCACTTTGGCAACTGCCGATCACCCCGCATCTTGTCATCGGAAGTTCGGAAATAAAGCTATAAAAGGTATATTCCGTATTTATGTATTCAAGGCGTCAACAAGCCTTGTCTAAAGGCCACTTTGTAGCTAAGTATTCTTTTGGAAAAGCTGAAGATGCGTTCGGCCGCACAAGCAAAGCTCGAAATGTGAACGTCTACAATAAATCCCATATACATTGTGCTTCTTTGTTGATAGCAACTCATATCTACTGCGGCATATGGGAACCCCAACTGAGAGTATCGTGAATAGGTCAATATGCCGACTTCAATCCTTGAGACTATACTTTCTGTGCTTGCCGTCCCCCTCTTCTCGGAATCAATTGCATGTTGAAGGCCAATCGGGAATCTTTCTTGATACGCGTATCGTCTATCAACTACCCTGCCTATGCTTGACCATCTGCAATTCTCTCCTTCTCCTTCTTGAGTAACTCAAGCAGGGCGCCCGCCGGCGCGTCATCAAGGTCCATGAAAACCTCCACCATCCTCAAGCCCTTCCCGTCCTTCAGCTCATCATCCTTCAACACTTTCTCCAGCTCACCCCAGGTCTTTGCAGAGCCTGTATATGTCTCTGAATTGCCTCCGAAGAAACCCGGCGCTTGCAAGTAGCGCCAGCGGGCAACGTCGTTGTAGGACTGATCCAACCCGTGTATGCATCGTTCAATGGTGTACCCGTCATTGTTAAGAAGGACGATGATCACGTCAAGATTGTGGCGCACCATGGTAGAGATCTCTTGAACCGTCATCTGGAAGCTACCATCGCCGATGAAGAGAATCGTGCGTGCCTCCTGAATTTCGTGGTATTTGGATGACTCGATCAGTTCTCGCTGCGCTAAGGCCGCGCCTTGCGCAGCAGGAAGCATGTATCCGATGGAAAGCCAAGTTGTCGGCAGGAACATTCTAGTATGGGGCGGTAGGGCAAAGACTCGAGAGCCATGGCCGGCCGTTCCCGTCTCTCCGAATATGATGTCCCCTGGACGCAGGAAACTGGACGTGAGGTGCCAAAACTTGGACTGAGTTATCTTCTCCTCACTCTCCACCTCCGAGAAATTCATGCCGTGGTCTTTAGGAAGTTCTGGGTAAGGATCATAATGATGAATCTTGGACTTTTCGAGTTGTCCGAGAAGGGAGCTGATTACCGCTCTAATGGTAACATCGCGGAACGTTTGGTCCGCCACTTTGATGTTGTCGCTGAAGAGGATTGTTACATCCGGCTTGGGTATGCTTGAGAAAGCATAAGTGTTTGTCGAGCTGAAATGAGGACCGAAGCACAGGATCAAGTCCGCCTTTTCGACGAACGTCTTGACGGCAGGATCGGCAAATCTACCTGTGTAGATACCGTGGTAATTTGGCAGACTCTCGTCGACCAGTGACTTGCTGAAAGCAGTAGCCCAGGTCGGCCAGCCCGTCACTTTCACCAGCTTCTCGGTCTGCTCGACGAGACCCAACGGCCTCGTCTCTCCATCGACGATAATCATGGGATGTTTCGCAGCGTGTATCTTGTCCATGATTGCTGCGAGAGCAGTCTCGTCGGCCAATGTTGGCACAGCATCGGGAAGCTGAATCGGTGTATCTAGCCTATCGGCCGAAACCGGTACGGCAACCAGATCCTGAGGAATTTCAATGTAGACCGGACGGCTATGGGCCAAGCACTGCCTCAGTACCTCGTCAATTTGACGCGGTGCCGAAGATGCATCTCTGAGATTCGCCTGCGCAACGGTGACGTGAGAGTGCATCTCCGCGAACCGTCTGTAGTTTCCATCATTGAAGCCGTGATGCATCAAGGTCCTGCTATCCTGTAGGACCCTAGAAGGCGTGCCAACGATGTGGACCACGGCTGCGCGTTCAGCATACGCCCCAGCGACAGCGTTGATGGCTGAGAGCTCGCCAACGCCGGATGTCGTGATGAGTGCCCCGACGCCCTTGATACGAGCATATCCATCGGCAGCGTATCCTGCATTCAGTTCGTTGACGTTGCCGACCCATAGTAGCCCTGCGGGTTCGACATAGTCGAGCAAAGTGAGGTTGAAGTCTCCTGGAACACCGTGGATGGCACCTATGCCGAGATCGTGTAAGCGAGTGAAGAGATACTCCGCGAGCTTGACGCTTGAAGGTTTGCGAACTTGAGTCATGTTGAGGGCGCTTTGGGGGCCAGTGCTAAGGTCTATGGAGGTGATGGAAGGATGAAATACCCAGGTAAGCTTGACCCCTCATATCCACATACACTGAGACTTGGTCAAGCTTCCCTTTTCAACGTCCCTTGGTTTTCCCCTCATCTCAGGTCGAGAGCTATGTCATAGCGAGATTTGTGGGCCCTGCAAGTACAGATGACTTGCATGTTTCGGTAAAACATTCCCGCCTATCCGTACAATATAACGCTAAGTCTGGCACCTTCACATCTACAATAGAAAGACACCTCGTTGTCTACAATGAGATCTATGTTCGTAACAACAGGTAAGGAGCTGTGAGTGGTCAAACTCAAAGATGACTGAGAAATCACTCGACGAATCGTTATAATTCAAGACGCTGACTGGTACCAGCTCTCCCCAAAAGCTTAGCTCCTTAAGCCACGAAGCACCAACAAACCCCGCCAAATACCTGGCACAGTTCCCCGCAAGATAAGCCGAGGCCCAGGTTCCAGAGCTACCTGTATTAGTTCAAGACTTGCCAGTCTTTTTAAGCCCATCCTTGCTGTTAAAAGTGTTCCTGCCGGTTAGCATCGGTATAAGTGATATCTTACCGAGTTGATGTATCTAGTTCAAGATTTTCCGCAGCTTCTATTCAATATCCCAGATTCGGGCCATTGCGATGTTGCTGCTCGCTTTAAGCTCTAATTCTAGTCTGAACTCTGGTGTGTGGGGGTGCTTGTCAACTTCCTCGTCAACCAAGTCGAGTTGACTTACACGCTAGAAGCCTTCGCCCGCGAACTGCGATATGATCTTAATCTTGGGGCTTAAGCGAATCTTGAGGAAGCGATTACATCTTTTATGAATGCAGCTCCGAGATGAAAGATGCGTTGTAACTTGTCGGTCTGGCTCTCCACCAACACGTGACATATTGGGCTACTTGGTAATAATCGAGAGGGTCTCTCGACATACGCATGCATTGGCACAGATCGATGAAACTAAGACGATGGTCAGTTTGCTCATCGAGCTGTAGAGAGAACAATAGTTTAACCAGAGGTTCAGGGCTGGCTGAAGCTTGTGGAGGAATCGAAAAGAGATTTTATCGCCTTGGAGAAACTCTTAGATCCTAAGTTTAATTACGAGCTTGCCGTTAAGGTTAATTAACTGCAGGTAGGGACCAGCTTGTAGGATGTCAATCGTCTCTAAAGATTCGTCACGTTAAAGTCAGTTGACTGAGAAACAACGGAGAGAGGAATGAGTCGATTGACGTCCTACTGTTGAAACACACGCTTCTCAGCACGACAATGAAATAGAAAATCACTCCATCAAACCCCTTTTTGTATCAACCGGAATCACCGAGCTTGAATGAACGGGGCACAACTCTTGAATAGAGTCTAGCATAACTCCCTTCAAGTCGGAGTTGGTCAGAGCACGAGACAATGTGCGACGTAAGAAGCGAAGTTTGCAATGGCACCGATTGAGTTGATGGTGAAAGCGAGATGAGTGTCATCGACACATTTGATGTCGAAATCGGATTTTGCAACTACCATGGCCAACTGATCTGCAGGTTAAATGTAGCAAATAAGATCTAGCATCCGAAAGAAAACGTAATCCATGTGAGTAATAGCGAGATCGAGTGCAAGACAAAGGGTCACTGTAATCGTACAATGAGTCCTCCACGACGAAGCTTCGAGGCTTCGGCCATTTACGTCGTCTTCCAATCACAAACAGGAATCCGGGTCTCTGTTACGGAGCAGTGTCTAAATCCGTGTCGATGGTCAGGTTCCTTAGCCCCTCTCGCGTTCCTGGAGGGCTTCTCACGCCTATCCCTGAGGAGCTTGAAGCTGACAGGCCAGGGCCCAGATGAGATTCAGACAGCAAGCCTGCTGTGAGAACCTGTAAGCGAGCAAGACATCGGTGATCCCGTCTCTATTCACAAGGGCTATTTGCAGCGCAATACGGGGGTGGATTAGTTTCATCAAGCGAAGGAGAGGTGCATTGGATGCTCCGGGGCTTCGGACGCTTTTCCTGCGCAGGCCATGCCGGCATGCGGCACCGTGGGCAGGGGTCCCTGAGGAGAGAGCATGGTAACCATTATGTTCACGAAAATGATGCTTGTCTATTCGCGAAGCGCATGAAGCAATATAGTACCTACACCAAACGGATCGGAAGCACAATGATCTTGAGCTTCATTTCAAAATTTGTTTCTCACATCCCATGGCAATGAAACGACATACAGGAACTTTTGTGGCACACAACATTTCTCAAAACACAACCGCACCGTTTCTGGCGCCTCGAGAGGACGGTGCGTCTTCTCGATTATGTTTTTTCGTTCATTTCGGTAGACGTATATCGCAATCTTCAGAAAAGTCAGACGGCAACCAAAAAAGGTCCACGTCGATGTGGTTAAAAAACCTTGGGGAGACTTTGTCTCTGAAGTCTGATAACACATTGGGGACAGATGAGACGTGATGATCGCAACGTCCATTAACAACACAAAATTGATTGTGCCCCAATGAATGAGTCAAGTTGTGCCCTGGGCGTTGACAGTCCTTCAGCTTTATTGCCTGATACCTGTGCCCAACCATATTTTCTTCTGCCTACCCCGTGTCTATCCCTATCTCACGACTGGGCAGCGGGCTGCATGCAGTCTGTGAAACTTCTTCTCAACCGAACATTGCCTTCACGAGAAATGATCGCCCATATCATGCGCGAATTTAGATAAACAGCTGGATTGTTTTGCGTTGGTCGATTTGGATTGGTGATCGACACACTGTGCTGCTTAAGCTTGGATATTTTTGGAGACGCTTTTAGTGCAGTCATGGATGATGGATCATCTACATACACTAATCATGACCATGTCCTGGAGGGACTGGTAGATCACCAGCGGAAACAGAAAAGAAAAGGAAACCATCGGACGAATGCAACGCCGTCTAGATTCGATGTACACAATCTTCGGTCATGCCCATGCCGTTGTGCCGTTCTAGAATAGTCTCCAATATTCTCTACATGGGTCGAATGCTTCGCTGGTCAGGTTTCCGGGGCTTAGGGGGTGGAAAAGAAATAAAAATGCGCATCAAGGTTGGAATAACTGGGTATATGCGGGATAAGGGTGGGAACAACGTCTCCATGTCTCGTCCCAACTTGAAAGCTTCTGGGGCAGCAGATCGTCCGAACACGGCCCTTGAGCCATTTCGACGGATTTCCCATCAGGCCATTGCAGTGACCCATGAATCGAACTGGAAGGCCTCTCTCTGACAAGCAGTTCGGGCACCGTCAGGATCGAGTTGCACCGAGAATGGCTTACTTACAGACACGCTCGTTTTTGTCTCTGTCAATGTTTCGCCCAACGCTATGGAAAGAATCCCAATGACGATGGACCGTGTTTTTCTCCTGGCAAGCGCACGAGTCACTGCGAATTCGCCCCCCGAGCTAAGCGTGCCAAGCGCTTGACGCAGCAGCTGCTGGAAGAAGCTGTGGAATATTCTCCGGAAAAGCACACCTAGCACCCAAAGAGATTTTAGCGGATCGACCTGGCTTTGCCAGCCCTTGACTCGGCTATTAATAGGATAAGGTTCATCGGCGTTATCGAGAGCGACGCTGGGCTGGCGTCAGTTTCACTTTGATGGACCCTTGACTGGGAGCAAGTGACTGACTTTTTAGCGTCCTTGACTCTCTGTTTTTTCTTGTCGCCTCTCTCTCCCCTCTGGTCGCCTTGTTGGCCGTTTCGTTTATGTAAAATGTGTTGATCGGTCGGGAAACGGGTTACCTCTCGCTTCCCTAGCCCCGGAGGCTCTGCTCTGAGCAAGAGTTACATGCTACGTTACGGCGCTTGGCCCATACCTTTTAGCCGTTTGCCTCCCGGGGAGTTAGACTCTTCGCAGCTCCTCAGCCATGTCGCCATGAGGAAAGCCAAGACGAGTCCCAAAGAGACGGCTCCTGTCTAAAATGCCTAAAATGTCTGAAAATAGGGGACGTGGGGCAGCCGGTCGTTTGTTTGTGACATCACTGCCCACCTCTGCCCTATGTTAAGGCACCAGGTGGTATGTGCTGGTCACAGCATAACACGACAGATATTGGTCTGGCAACTCTGGGTGGCTGGGGGGCGCAGCTTTGTGGTTGAGTTTGTGTGCGATTCAGCAGGACCAGCCACCGCCAGCCTCTCGCTCTCAGCTCTGCCTCTTTTCTTCTCTCTTCTTGTTTCCCCATCTTTCTGTTATTGTGTCGAATAGGGACCACCGGTTCATCCATCATCCATGACAATGGCTGTGCTAAATAGAGAACCGAACCAATCGGCACCCTCACCTTCTCCTTGGCCGGCTCCGTCCTCCCGAGGCCGCCGGTTGTGGCGCTTTCAATTTCTCCATCCACACACACACTTTGTTAGTAAACGTGCAGAGACCGAGGTGCGAAGGTCAACCAAAATCTCGGGGTAGAAGCAACGGGTTTCGCGGGCGGCGCAGACGGCAGCGCTAGGAGGCGGGATGCCGCATCGCCAAGTCTCTCCGAGGGTACCATGCCATGTCACTCACCCTCGCCTCCCCTTGCGAGGCGGCTCCTCTCGTATTTGTCCGCGACTCCACTGCGAACCACAGGAGGCAGGGCTCATGATGTCAATCAGGCTCCGCAGGTATCCCTGGCCGGCATTACGAGAAGATCTTCGCCCCGGCAGTGCACACACTCAACTTTGGGCACTGGTTGGACTGGCGCAACCAACGCGACCTCGCTTTCTGCACCCCGTGATTACGAGATGATCATCGAAACGGGGTCCCCTGGACTCCTAGAGCTTTCTGGTGGCACCGCAGCAACCAGCATTCTGTGATGGTCAACCCGAGATATAAGACGAGCGACGGATCCCCTCCTGAAGGAACTTTTAGAACACTCATCTCACCACATTCAACAACCAGCAATCTTAATCACAAAGTAATCATCCGACCACATCAGTCTTTACACCCACAGTCACTTCAAACACACAACCATCAAAATGCAGTTCACCAACGCCCTCGCCGTTGCGGCCTCCCTCATCGCCACCGTCTCCGGCGCCGCGGTTCCCCAGCTCATCACCCGCCAGAACAACGGCACCACAAACGGCACCGCCCCCGGCCTGCCCGCCGACGCAAAGTTCCAGCTCATGGCCCTCCGCTCCGCCAGCGAGGTGCACTTCTCGACCTTCCAGGCCGCCAAGAGCTCCATCTTCCTCCAGCTCCCCAACCAGAACGCCACCTGCGACAGCACCGAGGACGACGACTCAGCCACCTTCTACCTGAACCAGGATGACGGCGGCCTCTACCTCTACGCCGCCTCCGCCACCCCGCAGCAGCTCTACGCCGACCGCTCCGGCATGGGCCAGGGCAAGCTCGGCTACACCACCGGCGCCCAGCCCGCGCCCCGCAACGGCGAGCGCACCGGCTGGAAGATTGACCAGTACGGCGACCTCACCCTCGACGGCGCCAGCTTCCTGGCCTGCCCCAACAGCATCGAGGACAGCTGGTCCGTCTGGATCTCTTCCGGTGTCGCCAACCCTGCCGGCAACACTGACTGCCTTGGCATTGCTGTCCGCGCCGTCCAGATCACCGACCCCAACAGCTGCAGTTACACTTCCTAAGCGGTTGATTGATTTGTTTGATTTCTTCCCCTTTCACGCATTTCTCATCAAATTGGCATCGGTATAAAGGCATTGGGACTACCCGGATATATCCATAGAATGGCGAACACATGCATTTGTGGCATAGCAATGTCATCACGGTCACTCCGTTATTGGCACCTGTATATTGTACTGTAGAGGGATTTGCCTTCTGTGAACATGAATTAATATGTCATTTTCAACTTTACTACTCTATCTTCCCGGTGACTTGTCGTAATCTTGAAACATTGTTCTCTTGAAGGACATTCAGCGCTCACCAAATCATACGGCTACTGTACGACGATAAGACCAGAAAGAAAGAATTGGTGACTTTGCATCCATGAGCAACCCGAAGCTGGGTATGGCCGTCAGGCTTGCCAGAGTGGTTAGATTGTTCTGCTTCGGATAATTCTCACAAGCGGACCACGTCCAAATTGTCAATCCAGTCGGAATCCAGTTTTGTGTGTCTGCTTTCCTTTCTCCCTTCGCATTGCGACCATATCGAAAACGTCTATGCTATTGGTACGAGGTTATCAGTCATTAGAATTATTATCGTATGTTTCTACACTGCTTCACGTCCGCTGCTAGCCCTCCACGGCAGCGATACCCTCCTTATCGCCTTCCAGTGCGGCCTTGTTGAACTCTGGATCATTCGTCGGCAGCTCAACGTGCCACTTTGAAATTTGCGCGGCACCAATTTCGACTTCGCCGTCCGTGCCAAAAGACAGGATGTGTCCGCCCTGAGTCCGGTCCTCAGTGATGAAGTGAAGATGATCGCCGGCTACACTGATGCCCATGGTATACTCTGGTGATCTGAAGCCGACAACAGTTCCCCGCACCGGCTCCTCAAAGGTGTGCGACGCCTGGTGCTTGCCGACCTCAACCAGGCTCTCGCCGGGTTTACTCTGGCCGCCGGCAGTCCGCACCGTAATACCCTTGAAGACACCCTCGATCCTGATGGCGAGGAAGAAGTTTTTCGAGTCGGGGAAGTCCTGTGAGAGGTGCTCAAAGAGCTCCTTCTTGTTGTTGAACGCGGCTTTGATGGTGGCTGTGGGCTGAAAGCGGGTGACCATGGCGAAGGGGGCGACAGCATCGGAGGCCGGGCTCGTGTCGATTGGGGTCACGGTGTTATCTGACTTCATTTGGTAGAGCTTTCCATCGAGGATGATCATCTCGCCGACCATGTAGCGAAATGTTCCCAGGCCTTGGTTTCCGTGGGAGATGAGTTCTGATACCGGTAGGCCCTTGGAGGCGACGCCGTCCATCAGAGCTGAGATGATGGAGTACTGGAATATTTCATTGACCGCCATGGTGTCTGATATGGTTTGCCGGTGTTCTCGTTGTTGCTGAGCGTGG